TGAGTCAATACATACATACTATTGCTATTTATTTACAAAACATACTATTCATTTTCAAGAACAAGAAGGAACTTACATACTATACAAAGAGCAAGATAACTAAAATGTGAGATACTATTTCATGGCATAGTAATACACTTTCTATATCACGTTTTATAACAAGAGTCTCCTGGAGGGAGAGCGTGAGTTTGTGTATAGATCTATACGAGATTAACCATCCTACACCTTGCTGCTAGCTACAGTGGGACCTGCAGGTCTATGGGTGACAAATATCATACCATTTTCGATGCCTGAAGAATGTCGTGTTTTATACTAGTCTATCGAGCATGGTTACAACCTTATCGCATTTAACATTAGTTAACCAGTTGGTTTTCAAGGTAGTTAATGCATTAGTAGTGTGTTTTATACAATAACTACTGTAAATCTTAATTTTTCCATTACATTCATACAGTGATATTCTCACATGAGAAATGAATACTATTTTCGAGTAAAGATAGTTTTACAAATATGGAAAACATACATTTAAACTATTTCAAGTACAAACATACATTTTACACTACTTTCAAGAAAACAGGTCATACAAACATATGAGTCTTGGTAAAAGACTACTTTTCATTTAAATGCAGAAAATATAGGATTTTCTGGGAAAGATACACACATTTTCACTAGTCAGATGCAAACATTTTTACTAAACAAATACAAACATTTTCATGAAACAAATTCAAACACTTGAAACTAAAATACTTATGCACTCACCAACTTAAATGTTGTTACTCTCATTCAAAATAACTTGTATTCTCAGGAAACCAGGAGACATGTACTCAGGCTCAGATTTTTTAGAAGGCGGAGCATGTTCAGACTCATATTTTATTTTGCTTTACATTTTTGGTGTCATACTGCTATACAAAGAAAACACATGTATTAACTATTTTATTAACGCAATGGATGTTGTTGTTTATTTTACTATTGTGCACTGTTATGATACTATACATGACGTCCTCCACCCCGAATGTTTTCGCCATTTCAGTTTGGGAGGGTGACATTTGTCCTCTTGTCAGCTGGGTGTCTCCCACCTTAACCCAACAAATAGGCGATGTACATTTGCGACCATACAAAGCCTCAAAAGTAGCTACCTTAATGCTCGTGTGATAGCTGTTATTGTACGAGAACTCAATTAAGGGAAAGTGGGTATCCCACACCCTACCAAAATCAATCACACAGGCTCAGATCATATCTTCAAGCATTTGAATGGTTCGCTCGGTTTGGCTGTCGGTTTGAGGGTGGTAAGTAGTGCTAATGTCTAGTTGTGTTCCTATTGCCTTCTGGAGCGACTGCCAAAATCATGAAGTAAATCTACAATCTCGATCCGATATAATAGATATCGGCACTCCATGGATTCTCACAATTTTTGTATAGAGATTCGTGTTTGCCTCTCCATTTTGTATGTGTCCCTTATTGGTAGGAAATGGAAGGAATTTGTCAGCCTATTGACAATCACCCAGATAGTGTCCAATTCGTCTGTTGTCTTAGGTAATTTGGTTATAAAATCCATGGTGATCCTTTGCTATTTCCCCTCGAGTATTACTGGATATTGTAACAATCATGAGGGATTTTGATATTCCACTTTAACCTTGGCACAAGTGAGACACTTTCCCACATAAGTGGCAATTTCTTCTTTCATGTTGGGCCACCAATAATGTTGTTTAATGTCCATATACATCTTATCGGAACCTGGATGGACAGAGTATCGTGTTTCATGCGATTCGTTCATGACTACATCAATGATCCTTCACATTTTGGGATGCAGATACGTTCCATGAAGTAGTAGGCTCTGTCCCCCTTGACATTCAGATTCTTGTCTATCATGTGCAGTGTTTCATTAGCGGTATTTCCCGGCTTTAATGCCTCTAATTGAGCCTCCCTGATTTGTGTAGTTAGATGAGAGTGGATGGTATCGATAATGTTTTCACCCAGCAACCTGAGTATTCTTTCCTATTCTAGGCATCGACTACCACTTTAGCCTTGTCTGGGTGGTACTTGATCTCGCATTCTTAACTTTTAGCACCTCAGCCCACCTTCACTGCCTCATGTTCAGCTCCTTTTTGATTTAGAATGTGCTGGAGGCTTTTGTGTTCCGTGAAGATGGTGCACTTTGTACCATAGAGGTAGTGCCTTGAAATCATTAGGGCGAAGGCTACTGCTCCCAGATCGAGATCATGGGTAGGGTAATTTACCTTGTGGGTCTTTAATTTTCTACATGCATATGCCATCACTTTTCCGAGTTGCATCAGCACATAATCTAGCCCTTGGTTTGAGGCGTCACAATACACCATGAAGTCTTCTGTTCCTTTCGACAAAGAAAGCACCGAGGCACTACAAAGGGCTCACTTCAAGGTTTGGAAAGCAACTTCTTGTTTGTCCGTCCAGTTGAAGGGTACGCCATTTGTGTTAGAGTGGCGAGGGGCTTGGCTATCTTGGAGAAATTATGAATAAACCTTCGGTAGTAGCCCGCAAGACCCAAGAAGTTCCGGATTTCTTTTGTTGTCTTGAGAATCGTCCAACCTTCAATAGACTTGATTTTGGAAGGATCCATATGAATTCCCTCCTTACTGACTACATGACCCAAGAAATTTACACTAAGAATCCAGAACTCACATTTGGAGAGTTTTGCATATAGCTTCTCGGCTCTTAGAGTTTCCAAGATCTGGCATAGATGCTGGTCGTACTCCTACTTACTTGGAGAGTATATGTGTATATCATCAATGAAGACGATTATGAAATTATTATGGAATGGGCGGAAGACTCGATTCATGAGGTCCATAAATGTTGTGGGGGAATTTGTCAGACCGAAGGGCCTAACAACAAATTCGTAATGGCCGTATTGGGTTCAAAAAGCAGTTTTTTTAATATCCTCTTCCCGGACTCGGAGTTAATGATAATCGGATCTTAGATCTATTTTCGATAAATAACTAGCTCCTTGAAGCTGGTCAAATAGATCATCAATTAATGGAAGTAGGTATCGGTTTTTAATAGTGAGTTTGTTCAACTCCCGATATTCGATGCACATTCTGAAGGATCTATCCTTCTTCTTGATAAACAAGGTCGGTGCTCCCCAGGGTGAGAAGCTTGGCCTGATGAACCCTTTGTTCAGAAGTTTTCTTAATTGACTGGATAACTCATACATTTCGGCGGGAGGTAACCTGTAGGGTGATTTGGCAATTAATGTGGCTCCTGGTATTAGATTGATTCGAAAACCAACCTGTCCCTCTGGGGGTATTCCCGGAAGGTCTTCAAGAAACACATCCGGAAAGTCACATGCCACTGGAATATCTTCGAGGTTTATTCCCTATTTTGCCTTATCCACCACGTGAGTGAGGAAGGTATAAATTTTCTTGTGCATACATTTTTGTGCCTTGATGCACGAGATAAGACAAAGATTGGCTCTAGGTTTATCACCATTGATTATTAGGGTTTCGTGGTTGGGGAGGTGATGGAGAACGTCCTTCTCGTGGAACATAATATCACCATGGTGGGGGCTTAACCAATCCATGCCGATTATCGCATCAAACTCCTAATATTTACTGGCATCAAATCTATTTGAAATGAATAGTTGTTTATTATTAATATGCACCCTATGTAAACGTATTTGGTTGTTTCAGTTTCCCATTAGCCATCTCCACCTTGAAGGCTTCACTTAGCTTCTAGGGTTGTTGTTTTAGTAAGTGTCTGAATTTATTACTCACAAAACTCTTATCGGTTCCACTGTCAAATATAATGCATGAGTAAGTGTTGTTAAGGAGGAACGTACCAGTGACAACCGTTAGGTGTTGAACTGCCTATCCTTGGCCCAAGGTCAGGACACTGCCTGATCCTCCTGCCCCTTGGTTGTTGGCTTTAGGGCTATTCCACCTAAAATGACCAGTTCATCCACATCCATAACAAGTATGGTTGGCCCCGACGTTGTTGTTGTTGTTTGGCTGTTGGTTTTGTTGGGGTGGAGATCTACAGTACCGGGTATTGTGCCCCTTGCGGTTGCAGTTGGTACAATTCATTTCTCTACGCTCGCCATGGTGGTGGTAGCTGCATTTGTTACATTTTGGTAAAGTTCCTAAGTATTGTCTGGTAGTGGTTTGTGTAGTTGAGGCGGGAGTAGTTGGTGTTGGCGCAACTTGAGCAGAAGTAGCGTAGACTGCTACAGTCCCTTCATTTGCTGTCCTTGTTTTTCTTGTTATCCCCTTCCTTCATTGTATCGGTATCAACAGTTCTGCTCCCTTTATCTTACTCCCAAACTCTCGCTTCCTACTCTTAAGTTTGGCGTTTGGAGTGCCTTGTTAAGTTATCACTCGTTGGTTTCCATGGATGTTACTATGGCAGGAGTTGTCGATATTGTTTCCATCTTTGTTGGTGTTGTTTACATTGAGTTGCGCCATGACAACGGTTACAACAGCTATTATAGCAACTTGGAATGTAGCGGTATCTATATATAGGAATGGTGTCTCACTGGTGTGCTGGTTATTTCTATGGGAAGACATTTTTCTGCTGCATGATGATAAGTAAGCTCGTAAGTAATGACAGTCATTTCATGTTTGGTTGTATGATTCTAATTGTTTCAACCTGCATCCCTAAGATGTATTTATGGTGATAAGTAGTAGTAGATTTGCATGAATGCTAATTCTAACCATATATTATTTTGGTTTTGATATCCTTGAGTGTCTAGGGGTTTCGGTGGCTCGGTTGTGCATATAAGTGAATTTATATAATAACATGGAATAAGGAAAAATAGAACACATAGCAGAAAACAACATCACGATAAACACATAATTGTTTTACTAGTAATAACCATCTTAGTACATCAAAGAGAATCGTAACAAATAGTGGTGGGGGTGGAGCTGATCCTAATCATGGGTGGATGCATCTGGTGGTGGTGCTCAGATGCTAAAATATCATGCCACAAGGTCAGCTAAATCACTCATCTCCAGAGTGATCTCTTCATTTATCTATTATACTTGTACGGCTCTAGCTTCAGCCACAAAGAGTTGCTGCCTAAGAGTGGCTACCTCCTCCTCCAAGAGGCGTAGTCGGTCGGTGGTGTATTCCTGAATTACATGCTGAGCTAGTATTGCTTCCGAATTATGGGGTCCAATAAGGATTTCTCTAATACCTTCTTCCTCATCTTCCTCCTTATCGGATTCTCCTGCCTCATAGTCCGTTTTGTGATATTCTTCCACTCCTACTTCTTCTATCCAACCGTCGGCCACCAAGGCCTGATAGTAGGGATCTCCTTGTTGAAATTCATCCATGGAGTCTGCATGAGAAAGAAGGCGTGAGAGATGAACGGGAACAATACGCGCGAAATACTCCAACAATATTTTAATTGTTTAGGTTTGGTTCCTTAATATATTTTGGATAATTAGATGGTAAGTTTTTGATTCATTGACCACCACAACCACTCCCGAACACATGTTGGTCGCATTTCGAATAAATATAGTTGATCAGGCTCTATTTATCCCCAATAAGAACACATAACTGCACGAGTTTAACCGTAATGTTTAAATCCTCCAAAGACTTTTACTATTTCTTGTTGTGACAGTACTCTAAAATGCACACATAGGTATGGATTTTATTTTTTTCAGAGTATTTTAGTCACAATGTATTTATAGTTACATATCTTGTATGATTAGATATGCCAGTTCACTATAAATATTGCTCTGATACGAATCTGCCACACCCCAACCGGAGAAACAACGGAAACGTTCGGGGGTTGGGTGACTTCATCTTGTAATATCATCATAGTGAATATAATAGAAACAAGGCAAGTATCATCCTCACACGCACAATAATACAACAATACTGAGTTTGCATCATTTTAATTGTTTACAAATGTTACATCCCAAAAATATAAGGATTATGATAGCAAAAAAAAAATGCAACAAATTCCACATGTTCCTGATGTCCACCTGCTTAACAATTTCCTGAGAATATAAGTTATTTCGAAAACGTCAACATATATAATGTTGGTGAGTTCATAAGCATGTTTGAATGAAAACTTTTGTATCATTTAGCAAACACCAGAAAATCCGATATTTTCTGTAAAATGGTTTGAAAGTTTAGTATCAAATCTTGTGTTTTGCATGTATGTTTCTGTTTTGAAAACGTGTAAAAAGAGTAGTCCAGAAAATCCTATATTTTTTTTTGTAATTAGAGGGTATTGTATAATTGTATGCTTTTCAAAGAAAATCCAATATTTTCTTATTGTAAAAGTGGTGTGGTCTTAAAGTCCTAAGACCAGATACCAGTGTGTATATGTATGATTTCGTGTAGTCAAAACTCTATATATATTCCGTAAATTTTTAGAGTGGAGTTAATCTCTATGTGAGTCATTATAACCATACTTGATAAGGAGTGATCCGCCTGTCATGACGTTTTTCAGGCTCCGACTTGTTTAAGGTAAGGTTTGTCATCCTAGACTGGCCTAGTCTAACTGTTGCGAACAACTCAAGTGTGGGGGAGTAAACCTCGCATAGATCTATACACAAACTCTCATTCTCCCTCCAGGAGACTCTGATTATAACTACAAGCTTACGGTTGTACACTAGATAGGTACGAATGAATGGAATGTCTCACAAGAGCCTTAACTGAATTTACGTGAATATTATATTACACTATGTAACGTAGTGAATAATGTTCCGTGTATGTTTTAAGTCTACTAGGACCCACAAGCATGTAAATGGGCCACAAAGGCCTAAATAACATGTAATGTATATTCTAGGCCCAATAAGCATGTAATTGGACCACAAAGGCCCAATAGATATGTAGTTTGTATTCCAGGCCCACTTAAACATGCCAATGGCCCAGTAAGGCCTAACAAGCATGTAAGGTATATTCCGGCCCAATTAAAAGTGTAAATGACGTATTTGTTCCATTTGTTATTACGTTGATCATTTAAGCTCAATTGTTTACCGAAATGACATAAAAGGCCTATTTTTTGTAAATAGGCATTTTTGGTCCATAAAACCGAAAATTAACAATTATGGCACATTTTTGTTAAAAATGATCATTAACTTTTTTAGCCCAAGTTTAATAAAATTTTCATTTTCAGCCTATTCAATTGAAAATTTATATTTTTGGCTCAAATTTGTTTAAAATGTCAATTTAGTCCACAAAAGTCAAAAGTTTACAAATTAATCCCATGAAACTGTGAAGATCCAAATTTTTAAGCCCGGTTTGTGAAAATTAACACTTTTGGTCCTTGTAAAACCATAAATGTCCTTAAGACCCATCTTCATATAAAATGACTCCCTAGGTCCTTGTAAGACCGTGAATGACCTAAAGGCTTCACCTTTTTGTTTATTTGTCAAAAATGGCCCCTAAAATGGGTTTATATTGTTTCTAGTGTGTCATAACATGTTTTAAACTTTCCATCTTCATAGTAAGTTGCATGTAATGATTTGGTTTGCAAATATCACCAAGTTATAGAAGATCTTTCGAATTTATGTGGTTTTAACACATAGTCACAACATATAAGATGGAAAACACACATAAACATGCATAACCACATAGATTTAACACAAAACAACTTGTATCCTCCCCTAAAACATAGTAAGAATCGAAAATAAGGAGTATAAACTCACTTTGGGTTGATCGATTCGCTTTTTGAAGAAGATTTGAGGAGGTTTCAGTCCTAGCAAGCTTCCTTGAAGAGATTTTCGAGTTCTAAGAAGCTTTAAGAAGCAAGAATCATAAAATGGAGTGATTAAGAGTAATAAGTTTTACATAAACATGAAGTTAATCTTCTTGAGTGGAAGTAGCTTATTAAAATGAATGGATTTTTATGGATTATCCTTGGTCTCACACACAAGAACCCACGATTTTTCTTGGAGGAAAATGAGAGGTTTCTTGAGAGTTATAGAGGATTTTTTATGTTTGAAAAATGAGTGAAGTAAGGTTGGTTAGGGTGGCTTCGAGCGAAGGGAAAAAGAAGAGACAGGTGAGACAACATGTAGCATGGAAACATGAGATTGCATAGATAAATGTTGTGTTTTGTGAATGGATATACATTATGTAATATTGAGGTGTCATTAATTCAAATAATCAATGTTTCTTTTCCTTTTTATTATAAAACTGAGAATTAGAGATGGGAGGGAAAAGAAATTTGAATGTTGGGTTAGAATGGAACAACAACTGTAAATGTATCGCCCATCAAGTAAGTTTTCGGCCCATTGGGCCCATATGTGTGTTTACAGCGCAATACAAAAAAAAGGAAATGGGTTTTTCGGCCTATTGAAGTTCAAGGAAGTTGTTTACGGCCCAATAAGGTCCATGAAGGATTGTGAGACATTTTAGGTACAATAAGGCCCATAAAAATTTTTATGGCCCAAAATGTTATTGTTTAATGAATGTGGGTCCATTTAGGCCCTAAATGAGGATTCTTAGCCCAAAATAATTCAATTGAGAGTTTATTGGCCCATTAGGCCCAATAAATGATACATGGGCCAATAATAGGTTTGAACCGGGAAGTTATGGTTACAACCCAAGTAGAGTGAATGTAGTATATTGATTTAGGTTTAGGGATTCATGAGTGAGTTTTGATTCAAATAGTTGTTTTTAAATGATTAATATGTATAACGTCAAACTTGGAGTTACAAGATACAACAAGAGTGGATTACACGTAGACAAAATTTCGTAGCCCACAAATGCTAGTTGTGACATAACCTCCCTTGAGTAGTTTTGATCATGGTTCTAATCTCAATCCAATAATCCTATCCTAATGTCACATTTGGTGGAATTCAATGACTAGGATGTTGGTTTCCAACCTCCCACAACCAATACACTTGATCGCGTTGTGGCCAAAACACTTTATCGATTTTTATACATGTTACATAGGACGTGTTTGAGAGTTTTTCTTTATGGAAAAGGAGATAGAAGAGGACTACCAAATCTTCTTGTGATTGAGGTGAGTATGTGTTGGCATTTTAGCACCTTGTGGTATATGGAAAAATGAATTTATGAAAATGAACTACCAATTCTTTGATATGTGAAACGTTTTGAAATGAAACTATTAAATACTTTTGAAAAGAATGTTTTTAAAGAATGCCTTGAAAGAAAGAACATTTTGAAATCAAAGAATGTCTTAGAAGAACGAATGTTTTAATATGTGAAATATGTCTTTTCAAATTATATATTCCTAGTAATCTATGTTATTAAAAAATGATGACATAGGTAATGATAATTTTGGAATGTGAAAACTGGAAAGAAAGTAAAAAGGCACAATGAAAACTATATGAACCACGATACCTCATTAGAGGCACTATAGGAATCTACTTGGATGATACTTTCCCTTCACGAAGTAGATATTATGATATAGAATGATACCTTGATAGAGTGATTTGTTCTTTTCACATTGGCACTTGACTTGGAGAGGGATCAAATGATACCTTGGTGGACTGATTTTGTACTTTTCACCTAGGCACTTGACTTGGAAAGGGATCAAATGATACATTGGTGAACTACTTTTTTTCATTTCACCTTAACTCTTGACTTGTAAAGAGATCAAATTGTTGGATTAGTGTCTAAGTCCATAACTATAATTGGTATCTGCTTGAACCGATTTGGCATGGTCCATTTGCGTTGCATGGCATCAAATCAATTGGATAGAAAAAATAAGAAAACAAAAGGATACTTATGATTTATATTAATATATTATAAGTTCTAATATATTAATATGGAATCATATTGTTTAATTAATATTGATCAAGAATTAATTTAGTGATCAAATAGGAACTACTTAAATATAGATTCTAATGTACATATAGGATGCGCCAAGTTCATTTAGGTTGGGCTAAGCTTTCATGGATAGTCCATAGAGTGTATAACCCATGGATCCTATGGAAATGAAAGGTCATGGGTATTAGGGTTTACATGAATGTAAACCTAGTCCTCCAAACTATATAAAGAGGTCTCTAGTTCATGAAATGGGCACTGGTGTATAGTACATAAGAGGGCAAATCTGATTTCAAAAGAGAGAACTTAAGTATTCTTCTTCTCAAGTTATTCCAATTTTTTTTAATGTTGTGTGAACCGTTGGAGGTGCAACACTTGGGGCACTAAGCTCTTAAAGGTTCAAGACTTCAAGCTCCATCAAAAGGTATGTCATTCTACTATATTGTTGTATTGTATATACTTCATATTATGCTAGTTAGGATGAATCCTTGGAATATTGAATATTTTCATGTATAATAAATAAAACATAGATCCAAGGTTTATAATGTTGCATGTACACCATAGGAGTGTTATAATGCTC